GAAGTTGAAACAAACTATAAAGAACACTAGGAAGAGAATTTTTCATGAGGAAACCAAGTGACTATTAAGAAATACATATATTTTAGTACTATTTTTCTATTACTTGCTGTATTTTGACATTATATTACTGCAACTTGCCCTATCTTTTACAAGAAGAGGAGGAGGAGGAGGAGGAGGAAGAGGAGGAGGAGGAGGGGGGAGGAGGAGGAGGAGGAGGAGGAGGAGGAGGAGGAGGAGGAGGAGGAGGAGGAGAGGGAGAAGAAGAAGAATAAGAAGAAATATTTGGATATGCAATGTTTTAGCGTTTTTAATTATGGAGTGTTGATGACTAGTTTATAAATTTAATCCAGGGGGAACAAAAGCTTTGTTACCCTGTTTTCTCACCCTCATTACTTGCACCATGCGCTTGTTTATTATCTGTTAGAACACACTCCTCATATGGTTTGAAATGAAAGGATGATCCATCTCCTCATTACCGACCCTCTGCTTGGTGACGAAAAACAAAATGAAACATATGAACAAAGGAAAAATGCCTTCCTGTCATTTCTCAGCCTTCTCTGCCGCTGCTCAGCTGGGATGTTAAAGATTGAGGTTTAATGAAAGAAGGTGAGAAGGTGAAGAAAAAGAGAGAGAGAGAAAAAAGCCCTAATGAGCATGTGTTTAGTTGTATGGAAAGATCACTGAGGAGCAGGAGTGATTTTCTTTGTGCCTAATATAACACAGTGTCCCCCAAGGTCAAAGAAGTGCCTTGTCCTTCCTTTCTCACCTCATTCCTTCATTTCCCATCCTGGCAACCAGCTTCTCCACTTGAAGACAGCTTCATGAAGTTTAATTTCTAACGGTGAAGTGAAAAAGACTCTCCTCTTTCATCACCGGCTTGGGGTTCTTAACAAGCATGCAGGGATGGAATGGGAGATTTAGTAGGTTGCTTGTGTCACTGGTGGAGCATCCTCAGAGCGGGCATTTGAGACCTCACGCTGTGCTGACAGAGCCCAGGTGGTCTGCAGATGCAGACACAGGGACACTTACCCTTCAGATGAAGAATGAAGAAGCCAATTGCCATAGAGCAAGGCACAACCTCTGCAAACACAAATGCTTTATGGTTTTAAAAGAGAGCTAATAACAGCTGTTGAAATTCCAGAGCAATGCTTGGAATTAAAGTAAAATCGTGTCGTTGAAATATCATTCCAAAAATGTCATTCATCAGTGAGCATTTCATCCCGATGGTGTGAGCATCCCATTGAAAATGTCTAATTCAACATGAGGGCCAAACTTGGGCCAAAACCCCAAAACTCTAAAGGAGAATGATGTTTTTTACTTCACCAGTTTGTAAGCCAGGGGATCATTACTCACCTCTTTGGGGAGTGAGAGAGAGGCACGACACCATAACAAGTAAAACAAGAAACCTTGAAGGGCTCTTTTCGGATCAACAGCTATCTCACAGAGGCAGATGCTCTTCTAATGTTCTCTGTCCAGTATAACTACAAACATACTGGCAGTCATGAATTGATATCTTTCTTTGAAGTTGAAATATGCAGTCTTAACTGTGCTCTCGTTCTCTATATTTCACTGAGTGAACAACCTAAATTACACAGAACGGCAGTAATTGGCTCATCATAGTCCTGTTCTAATTTTAAAAGGATAAAGATCTGAAAATCCGGACAGCCTAGCACTGAAGGAACTAATAAAGCCTGTTAAGGGGCTGCCAGGGTCTTTTCCCACAAAGTCATGGGTTCAAATTCAGCCTAGGTTTGTAGTGACCAAGGACCATTTTAACATTTTGTGTAAAATTTATGTGTCCTTAACATAATGTTCCCAATAGGGATGCTGACAGCTTGCATTTGTCATTCTTACTGATTCTCTCAAAAGTAACTGTAGATGGCCAGACACATGTGGAAAATAAATCATTTCCTTTCATAGAAAGGTGATACTTGCAAAATGTGAAGTCCATAGTACTAAAGAGCATCTTGCCTTCATGCTGTCTGCTGCCTACTCCTCTTCCAGCTCCCCCAGCTCCAAGAGAAAAGTACAGAAGTTCTTCAACTATCAATTTAATATCTGATGAGCCTAGAACAGGTGAAATTCAAAAGCACCAGAACAGTATTTTCCAAACAACCTAAATCTCCCATTTTTAATAAAGCATTCACTTATGGTGATAAAATGCCAGGTCACAAGCCAAATTTTGACTCCTTTACTGAGCATTATTCTTAGGCTCTAAATGGAAACTCAGTACAATTCTCCAGCTGTCAGACTCCAGTCTTACTCCAATTTCTGTCAACAGAATAACAAGCTAAATAGTTATCGCTACTAGAGTCACTCCTTGATCAGATAATTAATGATTGACTTAGTCCACCAGTCACTTCAGCCAATCAACGAACAGACTTTCAGGTAGTCAGATCCAAGATTTCTGCTTGGAATTTCTTTGGATTCAGTGGGGAAAAAAAATGCCCTCACTATTGGTCGCTATAAAGTGTCTCTATTCGGAATGATAATCAGATTGTTCCTCTTTATTAAAAAGCAAAAGTTGGTGTTGGATGAGTTGAGATATGAGATTTCCAAGGAATACCTTCCACAGGTTGTAAATGGTTCTCACTTTCAGATATGATGTTGACCAGCAAGAGGGTATATTACTGTGGGAGAATGTCCTAAGGGGCACTACCAGGGCAGTCAGTGTTGTGTATCTAAGTGCTGTTAGACAGCTGTGCCTCTCCAAGTGCATACACAGCCCAGCTATGTAGGTGGGAAATCCAGCATCCATGTGAAATCCTGTTACTGGGAAGCTGGAGGAACCCAGCACCTCCAGCTTATTCTGAGACTGAAAGATGTCTCTGTCACAGCGAGAGCCAGTTGACTAGATCCTTTCTTTTAACCACCAGTCCGTTGTTTGAACCTGTACTGCCAAGCAGTGGAGGGATTTTGCAGTTATTTCTTGTCAAGACTCTTGGGAAGTCACAAAAATTCGCAAATGTTTCCTTCTGCCAGGGGTTTGAGGTGAGGGTAAAAACAACCAAAAGAAAAAAAAAAGTCAAATAATGTTGATGCTTCCTTCCCCTCCCTTTAAATCTCCAGAAAGTTGTCTCTGTGCTGGGGTGGGTTAGAGATGACAGAGTAGAGTCTGTCCCTAAATTAGCAGCAGGTTTAAGGTCCATCAGGAATTCCACACGTATCCACCCATCTCTCAAACATTTGTCTACATATTGATGGGTCCCTCAGATCTTTATTTGTAAATGGTATTCCTTCTAACTACTTAGTAGAACTTGATCTTTCAGCTATGGACCCTCACAAATGGACAGTTCTCCAAAAGGCACATGGGAAATACGTTTTCTAACCTAAAGCAATGCAGGGGGATTTTCAGAGACAGAACTAGAGTTGTGCAAAAAAAGCCTTTCTAGCCTTGGCCTGTTGTTTCCAAAGCGATTTCAGCCTTCCCTCCTCTAAGTCCTTGAACCACCCAGTCTGCTGCTTCCTGTCCACCAATGTTCCTTCTTTCCTTGAGAGGCTCGATTCTTGTCACGTAGTCCAAGATATGGGCCCAGACACGTTATCATTGCTGTTGGACTCTGGGTTGGGGTAGGACAGTGGAGGTCGCTCTTTTTTAAGAGTGCGGTGAGGGATGCCCTCTGGGCTAGACTTCTTTGCAAGATGTCATAAGATGAACGCGCCGCGAATAGGAGAACAGGAAACCGAATCAACTGCCCTTGGCAGGGCCCCTGGGGCCGAAGTGAAGTGGCTCCATCAGGTGGAAACCGCGCAGTTCTGTCTTACCCAACTTACGAGAGATCAAGATATCTAAATAAGCACGGCCGCGGCCGCCACAACCCTGTCCGAGACCCGGGAAGGGGGAGGAGAAGCGCCGATCTCGGCTGAAGCCGCGGCTGGGGTTTGTTTGTAGGTTCGCAATTCACCATGATAAATGTAAAGACCAATTAAGGTTTGATCCGTGCACACGGGAGGCAGACGGCGGCTGATAGTGGAACCAATTAACGAGCATGTCCCCTAATTTCTGCCGCGGCCGCCGGGCGCACCGCGGATCCCCAGGCGCCCGTGACGGCCACCCCCGAACCCCGAGAGGCTCCCCTGCCAGGCCCTGGAGGGGTGCGTCCTCCTCCAGCAAGAAGGTGCGAGGAGTGGGGCCCCGGGTGGCTGGGGAGGGGGCGCACCGGGCAGGGAGGCGCGGAGCCAGCCGCCTACGGAGCCCAACTGTTTGCAGCCGGGGACTGGCGGGTGGGGCACGCCGGAGTGGTCGCGCTGGGCGGGGACGGCGGGGGCTGCAAAAGGCGCCCAGCGCGAAACCAGGCGGTGTTCCGGGGGCGGAGGACAGGTGGCCCCGCAGCCGCAGCCAGGTAGCAAACGGCTCGGGGGCTGTGCGGCGCGGTCCCAAGGCTTGGCTTATCCCCGGGCCCGGCTCGCTGCGGCCCGCCGCGGGGGCGGCCTAAGGTAGAGGGAGAGGAGCCCGAGGCCGCACCCCCGGGTTCGGCGTGCCTGGGCTTCTCCCCTCTTGCTCCTTTTCCCCTTGTGGCTAAACCCGCTGCCCCAGACGTGACCTCCGCGCAAGGTGTTGGTGCTGCGCGCAGCCCGGGCGTGCGTGATTAATGGCCCAGAGGTCGGGGGCGGCTCAGGCACGAGCCCCTTTTTGGCTCGGCCAGGGTGTGAGGGTATCCGGGAGGAGAGAGGGGTCATGGCCGCGGGGTCCCCCGGGAGCGCTGTGGCAACGAAGGAGCGACGAGGAGGGGGAGGAAGAGAAGTAGGTGACGCCAGAGGGAAAGGCTAGTCCCTTTGGCCTGGAGGCCAGTGTCACGGCGGGTACCCCGCGCCAGCAAAGTTTGGAGCCGCGGGCGCCGCGCGCGGGTCCCTCCCCGCGCAGTTCCCTCGGCGGAGTCTGTGCCGCCGCCGCTGCCAGGGCAGGACAAAGGCTCATTAACACGTGATGGGACCGCGCTTCATAAATGGGACTGAGAGGGAGCCAGAGGCAGAGCGCGAGCGGAGGGAGAGGCAGGGACCACGCGAGCAGGGCGAGGCGACGGGCGCTCAGGCTGGCGGAGACGGGCGGCCCCACGCCGGGCCAGGCGGGGCCAGCGGGAGGACCCAGTGAAGAGCCCGAGAAAGGGGCGAGGCTCAGTGGCAGCCGGAGCAGAGGGGGCGCCAGTCCGCGTTGCTGTCGCGGGCGGGCGCAGGAGGCAGGGGACGCCGGGGCGCGGACCGACTGACTTACTGACCGACCGCTGCAGGCACACCCCGCTCCACCCCGCCGGCGCCACCTCCCCCACGCTACTCTCTCAGCCACCCCTTCCTTCTCCACTTCTTTTCCGCCTCCGCTTCTTCTAGGCTCCCGCGGCGCCTGTGCCTTCCCCTGGCCCAGGTGGGGCGCCTCGACTCCCTGCAGAGCTCTCCATAGAGTCAGGGGGGACGCTTCCTTCTAGCGGAGAACCTACCCCTGAGCTGGGCGAGAGGTGCTGAGGGAGCTTCTGCCCTGAGGATCAGGGGATGCGAAGGGTAAGACCTGGCAGAGTTGTGTTTGGAAATACTTTTTCCGCCTCCTGCCCCTTTGGGTACTGACCACTGTGTCCTGACCACTTGGGTACCAGCCCCCAAGTGTCCTTCGTGGAGTTCTTATTCTGGGAGAGGGAACCGTGTGTCGGTGTTTACTTAGGTGTATAGCCTCAGACTGCTAACTGTTGTCTGTGCTACTTCTGGAGGTTTCCACCATTTACTATTTATTGGATGTGTGTGCACCTGGCTCTCTGTATGCACTGATGTCTGTTTGTAGAAAATGTGTAATTGTGCATGTTTGAAAAACAGGCGCTTGAATTGATGCTTAATGTCTATAAACCTTATCAGCAATGAAATATTCCCAGAGAAATAACATCAATCTCTGCATCAAACGTAAAAACCGACTAAATAAAATATTAAATGTCATGTAAAGAAATGTATGTCAAATAATAAACTTTTGACATAGAAAAAAAAAAGCTATAGAAGCCACTTCTAGGAGAAAAAAAGAGCATAGTATTTAGTATTTAAATGTAGATAGAACCATTTAACTCAGAGCTAGCCATTAGATGAATAAAGTTGATGTTGCATTTTTGATAAGATTCACAAATCACAAATGGATCACTCCCGAATGCAAATGTTTGCTGTGATAGACGTGAAAAGGTGTCGTTTGATCATTTGAAAGTTTGAAGGCAATATGCATGATTCTAATTTTAATACATTATCTCTCAAAGGTTTTAAACTGAACAGGTGAGGAAAAAATAGTAACCTATTAAACATTTTGCCTTTGATTTTAAAAATTTTCTTCCAAATAAGAGCCAATCCTGCCTTTGTTTATCTCTTGGTCTATTAACCTTCCTTGAGCATTTACTCCAATAAGATTTTAGAGCAGGTTTAGTGGTTTTAAAAGTGTTGAAAGATATTTCTGTGGGTCCTCTAACTTCTCATTATATTACCAAGTTAATATCTTTTGAACAATGGGGGAAATGCAATTTCTTAGAGGAAACTCAGTGGACATTGAGTATCAGAGGGGTCACTACTGACATCAATCTATTTTGCAGAATATTGAGAAGCTCACAGCAACCAACCTTAAGGTTCCCATAGGACTTTATCTGATTTAAAGTGTTGCTTTTCTAATCCTACCCTCCTGACAGTTTGCAAGGGAAGATATACGGATTGATTTTTCTCTGTCCCTTTTCTTCCTGCTACTCTTTCCCCCTCCCCCACACTCTTAACTCAGTTAAGAGCAATTTTATCAAAATAAAAGGCCAGGTATAGTTTCTTAAGAAAGAAAATAATTTTCTGATTGTATTCATACATGAACAGAATGCATGCACCACCAGAATGTTTAAAACATTGCACATTGCAGGCAGTTATTTGCAGGTATAATAACAGTTACCTTAGTTGGGCAAGAGGCTTCATGTTGAGCATGTTTTAAAAAACTAATGTGTATTAGATTATCAGGAGAACTTACTGTAAATGGACTCTTTTTGTTTCAAAGATGTCTCCCACACCAGGCGAGGAATACTCTTGGCTGAGGTATGTATCAAGTGTCTAATGGAGAGAGGTCTCATTGTGTTTCTATGCCTACAGGAGGGTAAAATAATGCCACAGGGTGGAAATGCTCAGTTATGACCCTTCAAAAATAAAATTACTATGCTTGCATACTCATTGTTAGGGAGGAAAATTAGATATTTATACCCTGAATTTTAATAGCATCAATATGTATCTATAAATGTATATTGTAACTAGAGCTTTAATTAAGTCATAGGTGATATTTAATTTAGTGTGCAAAGTTTTCAATTCTGGTGAAAATCAGATCTCACATTGGAGTAGTGCTTGGCTTTGTTTGTTATCCACTGTTTTCTGTCTTTTTCTGTTACCCTTTTCCCAGTGGACTATGTTCCTCTCCGTCTTGCCTGTGAGATTGCTCTTCTCTAATAAGCCTAGCTGCAGGATCAGTGTGTTCTTTTTGGCATTTCAAAATGTTAAAATAGTGAAATTGTTAAATGTTACCAAGCTGAAACTGCTGGGAATGAAATTCTCCAAAGAACCACTACATTTGTGACATATTACAGTCTATTTCTAAAGAAAACTCCTTGAATCGGTTTACCTATTTTCTCAAGAAGGAAGCAGCCCCATTGATTCTGTTGATAAGTATTTAGTATGCAGTGTCAGCTTATTAATTACTAAGGCAAAGCCTGAGAAACTCTTTCAAAACAATTGTGTGACACTCTGCTTTGCTTTGATTCAGAATTAACATTAACCACCAAGAATTTTAGACAGGCTCCTTGGTTGCCTTGCATATTAGTTTTTGGAATTAGAATTGGAATACTTTACTGGGTAAGAATAAACTGTTATGAAATGGAACTACTAATAGCGGTTTAGAATTCACAATGTTTACCAAATGTTTCCTCTGAGAAAACAGTTGGCCTAATAATTTAAGGGATTATTTCCCCTAACTAGCTATCCAGGAATGCTGAAACAAACAAACAAACAAACAAAAGTAACAAATTGAATTTGGAAATACCTAACAACACATAATTAGTAAAATGAGATTTGGTTATAGCTTCTTGAATTTGGTTAGTACTATGGAGCCTGTCCTTCAGGTTGCTGTCTGTTATTCTTAGCGTAATTATGTTAGCTCAGTTGCATAAAGAACACAGATGAGAGCTTGCATTCTGTGCTTAAAAGGATGCCGTGTCTCCCCCAGTGTAAGTCTGTCTCTTCTATTTTTGTGTTCATCATTTTCTAATTGAACTGACAAATAGAATGAAACTAGCCTTTGGATATAAATTATTTATAATTATGCTTTTGACTCTGAACTTGAACCCAACATTGTTTGAAAAACTGTACTAGGGCCAGGTTTACATACTTCATACCTATATTTCTAGAAATAGCCAGATCTACTGGATTGTCTCTTATTGACTGAAGATTGGTGGAGAACTTAAAGAAGAACAAATAAAAGACAATTTGTGTATTTTGTATTGGCAGAATTTTAACTTCGTATCTCCCTCACCTATATCTCCAATTTGTTCTTGATCCTGTTCTCATAAGAAATGCTGCTAACTTTGTGCATTAACTGCATGAGTGCTATTTGGGGAGGAGGGTTCTGGGGACTCAACACTTTGCCACTGAATTGCTATTTAATGCTCTGACAATCACTTAATTCATTTATCATGTATAGTTGTATGTTAATTTGGCTTCATCTTATAGATCAACTCAGATTTCTCCAAAATATTTTCTGGACCAAAAGTAATGATAAGCATCATCCAGAATATTTCTATTAATACTGCATTATTTTAGACAGCTGGGTGTGTAAACACATTTATATACATACATAAACAAACTTCTTCATAGATGTTGCCTTTTAATATATTTGAACACATCTTTATGATTTTAAATGAATTCTACAAATTTGGAGAAATATTCAAGTTCAAAGCAACTGTGCAGATGGACACTGAAGACTCAAGGCAAAAAAGAAGTATTCACCTTGAATCAAAACATGGCTGTTCTTGTTTTCCAGGATAGGAGGAAATTGGTTCCAGGCCCATGTATTCTAAGAGTCTTGCAAATATGCCAAAATGAGTACCACATCATTGGATTATAATTTTTTTTATAAAACTAATGAGTTTAAGACAGCTTTTACAAGTCATGCTAAAAATTATTTATTAGTTTTAGAAGTTAGGTCTATACCAATTAGGAAAAAATATAGGTTATTACCATTTCACAAAATGCATAGTAAGATAGTTGTATTTGTTTTATATATAAAGTGTTATAATGTTGTATCACAAGGAATTTAAAACTTGAGGAAATTTGTGACGCGGGGGGAAGAGGGTTGTTTTAGTTGTCTTCATCACTTCTCTTGTTACTGTTCAAATTGTGTGATGTTAGATGGACTTCTATCTCAAACTTGCCCCCGTAGATAATAGAAATGTTTATGATGTAACAGTGATAATAGGTCAAAACTGTTATGTAAAGCAATCAGTGTGATTATTTCTAGTTCTTAAGGTAAAATATTTACTTCCTGAGTCTTACTTCTTTACTGAACATGATGTCTTATGGTGAAATAAAGTACATTCCATTGTAATAGTTATTATAGGACAGTTAGTTGCGTAAACAAGTATAGTCTTAATCGAGTTTTCATTGATTTTTTTCATATATTTGAAGTGTTTTCCGTATGGATTACTAAAGGATAAAGTTGAGATAGCCTGTAATCTGAAAGCTTCATTTGGACAGGTTAATTTAATAACTTAGCAACCATGGAATTTTGAAGTTCATAGTTGAGTTTTTATGGGTTTATGAGGAAAGAATTGTTTGCTCCCTAAACCTGAGCCAGTGGGTCTGGCAGAGTCATTGCATTTGTTCTGGGAATGCTGTGGATTTTGTTTGGGTCTCAGCTGGAGAGATTGTCACACCTGCAGGTTAGGAAATCTTTCAAAGTTTTGTTTTCTTTTGTCTTGATTTGTTTTTGAATAAATGAGTTGAGACTGGTTAGATGGGAATCCTTGTTTTTCAGACAGCTCTCTTTTTAACCCATTGTACTACTTCATTATATTCAGTAAATTTTAAATTAAGTTTCACAAAGTAGATTTTGCATTTTTTTGAATGCAAGAAGTGATTTAAGTTCCCTTTTCTCTAACCCAAGTGGCAAATCTTTTTTTCCTAAGAATACAATGTTCTTATTATATTTGAACACATCTTTATGATTTTAAATGACAATATTTTAGTTTATCATTGAATGTTTTGTTTTTCCACTCTTAGTTAGATAGTTTGATTCTTTATTGTTTGAAATTTTAGTTGATCGAATAGAGATTTGATATCTTTGGCTTTATTCCTCACTATCTTTTGTCAAGTCTGAATAACATTTTAAATTTTCTTTTAACTTCAGGAGATAAAGTGCAGTATAGCTCCCAAAATTTGATAATGTAATAATCTATTTTTTTTCCCTACTAGCAAATTCCATGCTATTGCTTTTTAAAGAAAAGCAGAGGCATTTTTCAAAG